ACTATGATCGCAATGATCAAGGATTACAGTGACGACGTTGCAACACAGTGAGTATTGCTCCTAAACGGAGCGGCAGCTCCACTTTTTTCGGGGGAGGCAGCAGGGCTGGATTTTTTCTCAAACCCTGGCCGTGAGTGAAGGCAAGGCCAGGTGGAGGAGGTGCATGATGAAGCAGAGCATCTCATCAATGACGTGCGGGTCACGGTCAACTGCAGCCCCCTTCGCCTGCTCGATGAAGGGGAAAATCACCTGGAAAACGGAGAACAAAGTCCAAGACCAGCCGCCCCTCACCCAGCGTCACAGCCCCCTGGGTCCAGGACGGACGGAGCCGCTGGCAGGCCTAAAGTGCCCGGCTAGTTCCTTATTGGCTTCCGGAAGGTGGCGAGCATGATCGAGCGCGGATGCCCCGCTCACAGGTATCACGTTCAGAGCTGGTCTCATCCACTCTCCTCCGTGGGTGCTGGCACGAGAAGTACGGCATCCAGGTCTCCGGCAAATCGAACAGGCAAAAAGCCGAGGTGAACTCTTCAGGAATCAATCAAAAAGGCCTGTGAGTCTTCGCGGAGAAGCAGGCCGAGCTGCACCACATAAGGAAGTTGGCACTGGTCGCCTGGCAGTGACAGGGAAGTCGTTGATGGATATCAGGTTCGAGATGAGCTTTTGCACGTCCACTTCACGGCCGGCTGCCCGGCCCCGTCCGTGATGAGGTAATCGCTTTAAGCATCGTACCCTTCCTCCTTCGCCAACGCCCTTCATCGTCAGGTTCCACTGCTCGTGTGGTGTGCACTCTTCCCTTCCGGGAAGTCCCGGGCCGCCCCAACCGAGGCAACGGTCAGGATGACCTGTTTAGCCATTCGAAGTCTCATGCTGTGCTTGCTCTTTGCCCAACAAGCGAGTCCACCGCTTGGCTTTGCCTCTCGCTGACAGGAGACTGTACCCGTACGGCAAACTGATTGGCTCGGTCCACCCAGTATAGTGGAAGTTAAAGGCATGCCAGGTGCCGACTAGCAGAGCAGCTGTGGAAGGCCTCAAGCAGTAAAATCATTGCTGAGCCACTTCCACCAGAAGGTCGCTCTTGCCTTTGGGCTCCACGCCTTGGGACACACCGCTTCAAAAACGATCCGGGTGGCCACGGACTGGCCCAGAGCCGGTACCGAAGTGCAGGCCACGTGCGCCAGGCTGTCGTGCAGCATTGCTTCATCTTCACTGGCACATAAGGCCGCTGGCTCAGAGCATGGAATGCAACGATGTGGAGTAGAAGCTCCACGAACTGGGTTTCAGCCAATTGTCGTGACGTGCGGCCGCGATTCTCCGACAATATCTGTGCTGTGCCGCAAAAAGCTCAGGTTTCTCAGTTGCCTGACCCAAATCTTGTTTCTGAACTCACTGCACTCCGGAAGTATCGTGAGCGCGGAGCCTAAGATCCTCGGCGGCTGGCTGTTGGAGCCGACTGGTGCTGAGGTCAGCCCCGCGGTGATGCTATGAAGGGAACGTGGAACTCCCAAGCAGGGACTTGGCAAGGCAGGGGACTTTCCACACAGATCAATCAGCCTTGCCTCCGAGTCGTCATGCTCAACCAGGGGCCCGGCATGGCATGGGCCTACGCTAACTTTTTCAGGGGGGTCCTTGAGCACAAACCTCTACGCGTCCGGTTGGGAGTCTGTGAATTAGGCGATGAGGACGGTGGGGGGGCGTGGGGCTGCGCTGGAGCCCTTCTTCTCAAGAAGTTCAAGGGAATGGCGGAGCAGTTGGGAATGGTGTGTGGTGGGAGCGGTGGGGGGGGGGGGAGGCGGTCTGGGCGGTACAACATCAACCTGGTATGCACAACATGCCCCATGGCAAACAGTCAGTGGACCTGTACTTCGTATCCGCGCTGCTGGAAGGCCCAAGCCGAAAATATGTTCTTATAGGGGGCCTTCTCGTGTACCTCTTGGGGACCTTTTGGGTCTGGCATTGGGGACTTTGGGGGGTCGGCAGTAGCTTAACTCGGCCGGAGCCTTGTTTCTTGCTCGCAGCTGCACGTTGCAAGCAAAACGGCTGGCTTGAAACCAATGTGTAAGCCCATGGAAACTGCAGTTTGAAAGTGAGCCATGCGCGACTTCTGTTTAATTCCCCACATCATTGTCTGAGTTTTGTTGCTTAGGAGCCGCAAACTCTAAGCCCCATCCCAGACCTTAAACCCGTACGACTCACCTTCTTTTTTCTGGCGTCACCACCGACTTGGGCCTCTCTGTGGATGTGTACCACCTTTTCAATGAATTTCCGTGGCTGTGCCCGATCTACGCCCGGCTGAAGCTTTGGGGTCTAGGTTTCTTACTACAGCGTTCTCCGCCTTGCTAAGAGGGTTTACGGTTCAGGGGATTAAAAGATAAAGGCTGTCGGGTTTAGGATTGTTACAGGGTTCTAGACTGGCTACAGGGGAATAGATCTGCGCCGTAGGGATCAAAATGCTACAGGCTTCGGACATGAACCTGTGACAATGTCAGGGCTTACCATTTCTATCTTCCGAGGTTTGCCTTTATTATATAAAATCTCAACAATACTGCTATCTGTATTTCTGCATTTCTGTCCTGGAGGAGTGTATTGTTTTTAATAGCACTATATCACCATTTACCGTATTCTTGCTTTGGTTTTAGGGTTTTAGAGCTCGGGGTCCAAGGGCTTAGGGTGGTCACTAAAGGTTTGGGCGTTGAGTCTACGCCTCTAAGATCAGTTGGGGCTTTAGGGCTTGCAGCTTCAAAGGCCTGTAGGCTTTAGGCCCAGGCCCAGGCAAGGGGGTTTCTAAGGATCGGCAAAACGGCGGCTTGCGGGCTTGGAGGTTTAGGGGTTCAGGGCTTAGGGGTTTAGGCTTAGGGTTTTGGGTAGAATGCCCCCAAACCTGACTGTCAATCAATCGAAATGATAAATGCTAGCCCGGCAGGTGCTGTTCACTGCCCCCGAGGTGAAAAGTAAGCATCCTTGCAATAGCGACTCAACATCTACTATGACATACCATGTTCAGTAGCATGTCGTAGCGGTCAATATATGCACGCATGCCAAAGATTCTGCTGTTTTCACGAAATGTCACTGACATGGTGGTTCCAAGATGTCTCATTATGGAATCTCGAAATGACTCGAATTGCGAAACCTCCATTCTCATGGAAATGCCATGCTCAAGTCGAAAGAGATTCCCCGACTAGGTTCAAGATCTAACAAGAAGTAGCGGAAGAAAAAATTGCAATTGCAATAGTAGAAAACAGCAACAGCAACGATACAGTAGTAGTAGTAGTAGTAGTAGTAGTAGTAGTACTGGTGGTACTGTAGACGTAGCAGTAGCAGTAGCAGTTGCTGTTGTTTTTGTTGTAGCACTATGTAGTACGTCGTACGTTCAGAATTTGTGGGAGACTTACCTGGACATTCCAGAGTTACGCTACAGTTTCAACTCGAGTCGGCATTCGGCATCTGTATAATTGCTAGTTACTATGTCATATACCACTGCACCATGTCGTTGAACAGATGTAAGCTGTCCAAGATTCTGCCGGTAATCAAACAACTTTTGTATACCAGATTAGAAGGAAGTTCAACTCTATACGTGAAAGCTTCCCACTTGTATGTATGTATATATATATATGCATATACATACATATACATACATATACTATATACACAGACACATACATGCGTACATACACGCACACACACAGAGACCTACACGTACATACATATATATATGTATATAACACCCACACGTGTGTATATATATATATACGCACACACTTGCATGCATGCATGCATGCATGCATGCATGCATGCATGCATGCATGCATGCATGCATGCATGCATACAGACATACATACAGACATACATGCATACATACATACATATTTAGATGCACATAAGACAATCAGAACTCGGTAAGGCGGCACTGCGCCCGAGACTACCGGGTCTTAAAGTTGTAGATTATGTGTGAACGATACATCAGATACTTTGCAGTTTTCGATTTTGCATAGAAGTCGTGTGGTGTGTGCTGTGTACTTCGTGCTGAAGGAGTAATTCGCAAACAGATAAAAAAACCCCTCTGTGTCGGCATGTTCCCATTTGCCTGCGTCTTAGGAATGTGCTTGTGCATTCACGTGTCACAGACACATGGCATTGTGTCAGTCATAGCATGTGCGGAATGCTATTGTCACTATTGTTGTTGTTCCTGTCATTTTCTCGAGACAGGTACTGCAAGTGTAGTAAGAGTCACGCTCACGGCGACCCAGGCTCGACTCTAAATATACATGTGTACATCGGTTCACACGGGCATGTATGCATGTCTGTCTACATACCACCGTAAGAACCAATATTGCTGTCACTCTCGAGCTGTCAGAGTCAAGAAGGTACACTCCCACTCCTGCAGCTTACCTGACTTTCTCCATCTTCTTCTCCAGGGCATGGGGAGTCGGTTAGACCCCCCGGCCAGTAGGCCCCCCTTTCTCCATCTCTCTCTCTCTCTCTCTCTCTCTCTCTCTGTGCATGTATGTGTGTGTATGTATATATATATGTATGTATGTGTATGTGTGTATGCACACACAGAGAGGCATAGATGTAGATATATACACATGTATATAGTTACATATGCTGCATGCTACCTAAGTATACCTGTATTATATATATATATATATGTATACACACACACATATGCACACGCATCTAAGACTGTATGTATGTGCAACACATAACTCATGTTCCCTATCGGTAAAGACTTGATGGTCGGAAACCTGCAGAAACACAAAAGTCCAAATGCCATCATCCCAATGCACTGAAACCACAAAATCTGCAAGTTCGGCTCACTTCTCAGGCCTAGCGATAGCTTTCGAATTCGAGGACCCTTGCACGAGAGAGATGGACTTCTCCGAACTGGCATCGGTCTGATGGTTGGGGTACAGTTGATGGTCAAGGATAAGGATTTAGGGTTTACGGACTATAGTTTGCAGAGTTTGGGATTCAGTGTGCTGTAGGTTTTGTGGCTTTAGGGCCTAGTTTTCGAACCACTTCAGCACCGTGCCTGTTGCCTCCTCGTTGCTCGGATCGAGCATTACCTTCACTATGTCCTGTACCAGGGTTGCGAAGTCGTAGTAGTTGAGTCCCCCTATGCTTTTGCTTGAGGACTCGACGTTCAGGATGCGGACGAAAACGCGTTCACCGGCATGGATGCCAAAGTAATCGTTCTTCTTCGTGGTCAATTCCAGTGTAGCATAGTTGATTGCCTTCACACTGTGCACATCCTTGGGAACTTGAAAGTGCTTCGCGTAAACCTTCCAGTCCTCTTGAGCCGTCTCGACTGTCTCCTGCAAGATCCAGGAAACTCCAACGAAAATCGAAACATGCCTTTAACTAGGCTTCATAGCAGCATTGAAAAAATTCTGAATTAAGGGGCTTTGGGTTCTCTGGGAAACTATGCCCATGAAAGCTCGACGCGGCTACTTTGATTGTGCTTTGATAAGCAAAGACAGAACTACCCTGCAGTCTTGTAGCTGGGAGGCTTTTGGACAGCCAGTGGAACTACGAATCAGAAACACTCAAGGAAGCCGTACAGAGCTTAAGAAACCCTCAAATTAAGGTACCCCCACACAGCCCTGACGACTCCTCGAAGAGTTGAAAGTTCGCATAGCACAGAGGGCACGTGTTGACCTCACCCGCCATTGCATCCGCAATTGCTTTCCACTCTGTCGGCAACAAGTCGGAAAGAAGCGCAGCGTCGGAGGGGAGGAGCAACTCTTTGTAGTCTTTGCCGCCCATCAGCCTCCAAACATGATCCATCAGCGGCTCGAAGCAGATGATCTGTCGCCATGGGTTTAGGGATTCGTGCCTTAACTTGTGGCAGCATAACATACACGACGCTGGCGGGGCTGCCTACTTAAGTACTTAACAGTGGAGGCCGGGGGGGGGGGGATTGGGGTCTGCGGCTTCAGATTCAGGATTTAGGTTGCAGGTAAAAAAGGGGTGAGCTATAAGAGTTGAGAGGACGTAGGCCATTTTAGAGCTTAGGCATCAAGAATTTCAGGAACAACTCCCAGGCCCTAAACAGGATCATCGCTGAAACGGTTGAGAATCTGGTGAGTGTTTCTAGTTTTTGTTGAATGGGGCGGGTCTGGCGGATTCGAGCGGCTTCGGGAAGAATAGGTTGGGGACGTTTAAGGATTTTTAGTTTAGCCTATCAGGACTCGCTCTACATGGGGAGGAGGGGTGTTATTTCTATAGAACCTCCAGAGTAACACCGAATATACACTCACCAACATTCAACCGGCGCCCTAGATTCACTTGCCAGAACGGTAATATGCGGCTTCACATCAGGCTTCGTGATCCAGAGGGTGGAACAAGTATCGCAGCTTGCTAGGAAAATGCAAAGCACCAGAGACGAATGCAGATGGAACGGGTGAGATAACAACACCTTGGAGTCATCATGTGGCAGTGCAAAGCTCGAAGCTTCAAAACTTCCTTAGGTTTGACCCTGCCTGTAGCATCTGCATCCCATAAACCTCTGCACATCATGAAGGCTCAAACCTGCATTCAATAATCCTAGGATCCGTGGGGTTTGGGGATGTAGAGTCAATGTAGAGCTTCGGGCTGGGACCTTGGACGTTGCTCAAGTCACGACCCGACAGCACCCAAACCGTTCAAGGGCTGCATGTCCTTTAAAGGACTTTCGGGATCTTTGGAGTTGTTTTTCCTAAGGTCTTGCTGGCACCAAAAAGCTTATGGTCCTCCAAAAGCTCAAAGTCTTAAACCTACACGACTACTGCAGCATACCGAAGCAGAAGCCTCGCGACTGCCAGCACGAAGAGCATGGCCGATGCCAGAGTTGTCCGTCAAGCCTCCATCGACCTTACCCGGGTTCAGAGGTCAAGGCCACAGTCAAGGGTCAGAGGTGTTTGGGTGTAATGGGTTTTCGGGGCTTGGGGTTACAACCTTTGAATCGTCCAGCATTTGAGAATCTACTAAACCCTAAACCCCAAACCAGACAATGGGGGCTAAAGGTGTAGAGTTTAACGCAAATGGATCACCCTCAAACAAGGGGTTCAGGGCTTAAAGGTTCAGCCGCATGAATGAAACGAAAGTCAAGATGTGCAACACCAACCTGGACTTGAACACGGTAGCCATCTAATTCCCCCCCCCCAATAATCCTAAAACCAAACCCCAAAACCTGATACAACCAAAAGCCAACCCTAAACCCTGGCCCTAGCCCTAAGCCTGAAAACTTGAACACCCCTAAAAACCTTAGTCGCAAAATCCAAAGTCAACATCCAAGAAACCACGATTGGAGCTTCTATAGCAACACACGCGCCAAACGCTAGAGGATCGACAACCCAATAGCCAACACCCCCATTCCTTACAAACCCTAACCCCTAATCACGCCCCACACGTCAAGAAGCGAGCGCCATGAGCTTCTTATCGGCAATGTATTTCAAGGTGGAGTCCGGCGTCGCACCATTCTTCTCCCTGGTCTTAGCATTTAAATCAGAGCTGGGGCAGCTGGGGTTTCAGAAGACTAGGGCTCCTGTCTTGGGGTATCCTTAGATCTACCTTGAATGTCCATGTATCCTCATTTGGGTACTTGCGTTTAGGACAATGGAAGCTAATAGTTAGGAAAGCATGTCCCATGTGAACATGAATGAACCACTAACGATCGGATCCTCTCATGCAAATTTCTGAACACGGGTCCCTTGGTTATAGAGTTCCCATCTATTCAGTCTTGCTGAACAGCGTGTCTTAAGGTTGTTGGTTCCGATTTCGGCTTTGCATTTGAGTCGGTTTACGTTGTACGGTATTTCGATACTCAGTACAAAATCCTACAATGTCTTTTACGCCAGCAAGTCAGGCTTAGGCTTCTTAGGGTCAAACGTAAACCTGCATGTATGTATGTATATATATATACATACATAATACACGTACACACACACATATATATAATATACATACACACATACATACCTACATACATACATACATACATACATACATATGTACGTATACACATGTATAACCTTGTAAATGAGTAAACAGATCTATATGAATGATATACTATGCATGAAGATTTGTTGTCGATATTGTCTTGGTCGCTCACCTCACCGAACTTGTGAATAATGTTTGTGGCGGCCAAATGTTGGGGTAGAGGTTGACAACTTTACAAACCATTTATTCCCCTTGCAGGCACACGCGCTGACGAGGGGGGGCTCGAACCGCGCAAAGA